GAAATAAGTGGGTTAAGCGGTCACCTCGCCGCTTCCTTCTGAGCTAAGTGTTTTGGTTTGAATCCCCACATGGGACAACACTTTGTGTGATCTACAATTTTTTTTTCTGAGTCTTGTTGGGTGTTCTTTGTGTCCGTTTCATAATAATATAATATAATAACAATATATCTCACACACGGCCGTCGGACGAAAAACGAGGAGGCGAAACGACAAAGAATGACTAGTCTTACTTATAATAGAAATGGGTAGGTTTGGATGGATGTTTGTTACTTAACAACGCCAGAACTGCTGAACAGATCTGTATGATACACAGAGGTAGATCATAGATTAATAGAATTGACGACCGGATGGCGTAGTGGTTTGTGTAACGGACTGCTATTCCAAAGGTCGCGGGTTCGATTCCCGCTCAAGTCAAACATTTGTGTGCATGAACATTTGATGTTTGATTTGGTCTGGGTGTTTCTATGTATAATATGTATGTATTTACAAAAAAAAAAGTATATATGTATTTATATCAGTTGTCTAGTACCCATAGTACAAGCTCTGCTTAGTTTGGGACTAGATGGCGTTGTGTGAATGTGGTACAATATTATATTATATTATTATAGACTGTAATATCACATTACATAATTTTTAATGCAGCCGAAGCTGGGACATAAGGTATTATATTGTATGTTCAAATCGCGAGAAGAAATGATTTATGGCATAAATAAATGCAATAACCTGGCCCTTTAGCCCTTCAAATTTAATTTTTATTGATTTGATTTTGTAACCAATATGTATCCGTGTGGTGACGGATTAAGAATACGGAATGTCGTCACCCCTATTCATCCCGTGGGTGCCGTAAAAGCCGACTAAGGGAGCAAAATACGCAGGACACCAGCACTGCAAAGAGAAGGAAAACTGGTAACAAACCCTATACCAACCCGTCTGGCCAGCGTGGTAAAGTAGGTCAAACCCTCCTTTCTAAGTAGAGGCCTATGTCCAGCAGTGGACTTTTAAAGGCTGTTGATGTGTTACCAATATGAGGCTTAATGCGATCAGCTTGGGCATAACGCGTGACGTCACTGTACACTGTGACGTCATGCGCTATGTGGCTCGTGATTAGCTATTCTGGTGTGCACTAATTTCATTACACAACCTCAATTATTCGCTGAAGTGTTGCCAGCTGTGAAATCATTTGACATTAGAAATGTACATAGACTATGTGACAGATTCATTATTATTATTAAATACAAGTGTAAATGAAAAATAGTCTCTGTATACCCTTTCGATAAAATGTATGTATGTATTTGTGTATGTACCTAAATAAAAAATATTTTTAAATAACACTATTTGTTATTCTTTATTTACTAAGTATTCTTTTTTTAAACAACACCCCCATTATGAATATATCCTGGGTCGCAGGGAATTTCATAAAAATACATGTAACGAATACAAATACCCAGACATAAACATACAATAATTTGTTGATCATATAAAGTGTTGTCCCATATGGGCATCAAACCCACAATGCTTCGCTGAAAACTAGGGATTGTGGCGACCACTTAAACCGTGCGCGATACGTGCAGTCTGTATAAAACATAATGTTTCAAGCGTTAACGTAAAACTGTCGAAAATATCTTATTGTATACATGACGAGTCTATAGGGACTTTTAAAACGTCAGCAAAATTACTGACAGGTCAAATATGTCTCTCTTGTGATTCCCTTTTGTGCCCGACTGAACACTTTGCACGGTGATTAATTAATAAATTAAATGAAGATATATATATATATATATTTTTTTAATTTAAATTTATTTTAAATTAAATTAAATTAAATTTAAATTAAACATTTAAATTATAAAATATGTTATTTAATTTTACAGAAAAGTCTCCACATTCTTTAATGCTTTAATTTCATTATTTAAAGTCGATGTCTGATGTCATATCTTTGCATGCACGGATGGTGTAGACCACTACGCCATCCGTGCATGCAAAGATATGACATGAAACCATTAAGCGGTCATCTCGCCGCTTCCCACTGCGCTGAGTGTTGTGAAAACATAGGACAACACTTTGTGTAATCCGCAAATTGTTGTTCTGAATCTGGGTGTTCTTTGTGTCCGTTCCATGTATGTTTGTAAAGTCCTTCGCGACAAAGGATATATTCCTAGTGCGGGAGTTGTCTGTTTTAGCAAAATATCAACGTTATCGGTGAATTGCCAAGTTAAACTTGTAGATATGAGGTCGATTATACGACTCTTAAATAACAACGCACTTTTGTATAATAACCTGTGTAAATTAATTCCACACGCATACACTACACTGTCCAGACGGGTTGGTACAGTGTTTGTTTCATGATTTCCTTCTCTTTGCAGTGCTGTTGTCCTGCGTATTTTGCTCCCTTGGTCTTACGACGAAAGGTCGAAATGGGAAAATAATGTTAACATTCCTAACTGAAGTGTAGTGCACCTTTTCACTTCTTTCCACATTACCCTACAATAATCAGGTATACAATGTTTGAGGCATTAAGAAAAAAAAAAGGTGGCAAACGAACAGACAGATCACCTGATGGTAAGTCACTACCACCACCCATGGATAGATACAGACAAAAAGACAGACTTTCGCATTTAAAAGCTGAGTATGGATTCTAAAGTGATAAACTACCTACGCCATAGTAACTTAAAAAGGGGCACATGTATGTATAACTAATGAATTGAATAATATCTAATCAAATAGATTTATTAGTAATCTATTTATACGTCATTTCAATTTCAATCTATTCGAGCAATCGTACGTGAACTAGATTTGCACCTATCAATTATAAGCGGGTTACAGATTTGGCGCGTCTGGCGACGGAGGTGTGCCTCGAGAGCTCTTGCCTTGCCTCGTTGAGATTGATGACTGACACTGATTGCGCCTTGAATCTTCGTACTACTAATGACTGGGTTTGTGATTGTGACTGAAAAGTTTGCAGGTTTTTGGTGTAATTGTAAAGTAGTAGAAAGATTACGCGTTCTTTTCATTGATATATAATGTTTAAAACATAAAATTGTTCTCACAGAGAAAATCTAATACCGATGTAAGCTGTTTCCCTTTTTACTCGGAATGATTCTTAATCTAGGAGAGATTAAATAATATTAAAGCCATCTGCTAAAGAATTAATGTTATTTTCATCAAACTAATAGAGTGTACAACTTTAAGGAGTAGGTATGTACTAATATTGTTCAACAAAAACGTAAAATAAAAATAGGGTAAATTCCTAGGTTTAAAATAAATTAAACATAAAATATAATAATAAAAAAAAAAACAAAATTATCAACATTCTGCTACGCTCTCCGGGAAGTTAAAAAAACCACTGGAAAAAACGCTTTAGTCACCTACTATGCCTATGTATCCTCATGGCTGAACGGTATCGCCCTATGGGGTAACAGCATAGATGCTTCCTCACTAATTATGCAAAAAAAAAGACGGGTTGCACTCCGGGAGTGCCGGCAGAAGTGAAAACTTGAATATTAACGTTGTGCATTTTTGATATTTTGGAATGGTTGGGGAATATTGCTTCAATTATCGGTATAAAAGTACTATAATTTATGTGGTAGAATACAATATTTTTTCTATCTACACAAACATGACAATTTATATTACATTAAAAAGTTTATCTCTCAGAAAAACGAACATTCGCGCAAGCGCCCTGCGCCGCCTACAATTTCGACGCGCCGTAGAAAGAGAGGGGGATACTTCCTCTCCTACGCCGCGCCGGCTGTCTACTCTCCATCCGTCTTACGAGTTTTCGATCAGGGTCACGTGTCCTGACGCGAGTTTGACATTTTTTACCCATTACAAAAAAAGTGTACAACGCCGCTAAAGAAGTTTTCACTTCAAAAAGTTAATACGAATAATTATAAACATGGACGACACAGAAAGTTGCAAACCGAAAACTAAAAGTACTAACCGATGTGTGTATATTCTTGAATCATGTAAATTTGTCAGACAAAACAGAAATTATTACACGATAAGGGAAGATTTAAATACAAATTACAAAACTTGGACACAAAAACAGACTAAATTTACCAACGTCCAGATTACAAATGCATGCATCAAGCCCCTATGTCATGTCCATCAAAATATACAATAAATTAGCCAATAATATTAAAAATGAAGAAAAATTGAATATGTTTACCAATAAATTAAAAGATCTTTTAATACAAAAATGCTACTATCACATATATGAATTTCTAAACGACAAATTTGAATAATTAACATAATATATAATTAAAAAAATAAGTTGAATAATTTATATTAATAATATATAACCTATACTATAAAAACAAATCAATTTGTAATAATACTAGCTGACCCGGCAAACGTTGTATTGCAAAACAAAAAAAAATTAGGGATGGGTCACCCTTACCATTTAGGGGTATGAAAAATAGATGTTGGCCGATTCTCAGACCTACCCGATGTGCACACAAAATTTCATGAGAATCGGTCAAGCCGTTTCGGAGGAGTACGGGAACGAACATTGTGACACGAGAATTTTATATATGAGATATAATATTTATTAAATTTAATGAATAGGTTAAATGAGTGAATAAAAGAAATACCTACTAAGTTCTATTTACTAAACTACATTTCAATATGACGATAGAATGTTTGCTTTTCTCTCCTTATTGTGCCGTGCCCGACAGGGTCCATAATTGCTTCTTTCTACATTTATAAAACCTGTGTATACATTATGGAGTGCAATAAAAGAAATGAAAAATTGGTTAAAAAATAGCTAATAATAGTATTTCGTACAAAAGTGTGCCGTGTCTATCGTTTTGACTCGACATTCATCTACCACATTGCCACTCTCTTCCCTGAGCGAGATTCGATTAACTAACTAACTAATCACTAAACAAACAAATAAAGTTTATCCCCCAACCTCCCCCACCCCTACATTGAGTTCATGTCATTAATGAAGATTGCCCTATTGTGTTAGCAATACATTTCTAACGTGTTTTTTTCTATTACAGCCCCGCCAGAATGCGAAGCCGGACAGCTAACATGCGGCCAGTATGTGTGGAACAAAACGTATTGTATACCGCCCCACTACCGGTGCGATATGCAGGTGGACTGCGTCGATGGCACCGACGAGGCTGACTGCAGTGAGTACCTGCCTTTATATTAGTTACATTGTACAAACTTATATCTACCGTGGGAGGGCCATGCTTCGCCACGAATGGGCCGGCTCGACCGGAGTGACCACGGCCTCACAAAGAACCGGTGTTAGGCAGTTCTTTCGTTGCCTTTCACGTAGTGAGTGGGGTTACCGGAGCCCAAAACCCCCTCCCGCTGACTCGAGCGGGAGGGACTCCAAGGGAAGCAACGCAATTGTGACTTTTGAGTTGCAGGTGTCCATGGGCGGCGGTAGGTGCTTGCCATCAGGTGACCCGTCTGCTCGTTTGTCCCCTTATACCATAAAATAAAACTTGAAAAACTTAAACCGTATATAAAAGAAAATAGATATTTATTGGGGTAAATATATTTTTAAAATTGTGAAGAGGATTGTTATGTAGGTACAGGGGTTTTCTATGTGCAAAAGGGACTTCCTTTCTAGGGTATACCTGGTTCCCCGGCTATTAGTACCCGAGACGGCGTGCGGTTTTAGTCGGTTCAAGTCCGACATGACACCGACAGGTGGTTTCCGAGGGGATTTCCGCACGGGAAAAAAAAAGGGGTTTTTTATGTGTTTATATTTAACTTACATTTTGTCTATCTATATCTATAAAAGAAGAATCTAATTCACTGACTAATCGATCAACGTACAGCTGCCACCGCTGGGTCTAGAGGGTGGGTGGGTCCTTAGGTGACCTAACTGTGCACTAAGAAAGGATTTTTAAAAATTTCACTTCTAAGGGTGGAAAATGGGGGTGTGGAACTTAATTATTTTTGGTTGTAGCGTACCAGAACGCGACCATCAAGCGGACGAAGTCGCTGGAAAAGCTAGTTAAATATAAATATATAGATAAGTACTACATAGACGATTCAAAATGACATTTGTAGTTACATAAAAAACAAACAAATTTGTATAAACTGCACTGACGTCAATTACGTAATAGTGGGACTTAACTTATACAGATAGAGCTATATAGTTTAAATAAATATGTATATACAAATATAAAAGCCACCTTTCAAAATGTTTTTTTATACAGAGACTTATTTTCGATTTGGTTCTATATCAACGGGTTTAATTTTCATTTTAATCTCAGATAGACACAGCTCTAAAAATTGCGTAAATATTTATAGTGGATTTAAGCTTAAACAAATGCGAAATATTGCAATTTAAATAGTTTTTAAACGGTTTTATTAATCTAGCACTGTTTGTTGTTTCTGGGTCAAATTTAACGAGTGAAATTTTATTTGGGACGATATTTGGTACACATCTATAATTCTGATCACAATACAATTGAATAAATATAATATTTTTTAATGTCCGTGTAGTGACGGATTAAGAATACGGAATGTCACTACCCCAATTCATCCCGTGAGTGTCGTAAGAGCCGAGTAAGGGCGAAAAACAACGCAGGACAACAGCACTGCCAAAAGAAGGAAAACTTGACAGAAACCCTACCAACCCGTCTGGCCAGCGTGGTATAGTAGGCCAGAACCTCCTTTCTAAGGAGAGATCTATGTCCAACAGTGGACTATTCAAGGCTGTTGATGATTTTGATGATTAGTTAAAAATCGAAAATTGCGATCGCCACAAAATGGCGGCTTACAAATTCTTTTTTCCTACTTTTAGTACATTCTTTACATAATTGGCACCTTTCTCTTCAATAAAATCTTTAACCTAATTAGTTTCATACTCATTTTGTATTAATTTACAATCTAACAAAAAATTATCTAACTTAAATCCGTTATAAACGTTTCTATAAATACCTAACATTGACCAAAGTCAATATTTGTTTGCAAAGTTGTGTGCAAAGTTTAATATTTGGTTAGTTCACTGGTGCCTAATGTCAGATTCGAATCAGTGAATCTTATTGGAGTAATCGAATTAGTACCAAAGCATTGATTTAATAACTAAACTACTTAAACCAAATTAACTAAGACTAGTACATATTTGGAGATAGACATTGCAAATTTACTGACATATTTTTTTCAATAATTACACTACGTAATAAGAATAATATTTTAAATAAAAATATCTCATACGCATCCGTCTGGTCTCAAACCAGGAGACTGCTGATAAACATACTATTTTTAAATACGTATATAGCCATTAACAGTCCACTGCTGTTTAGGAATATACGGGGTGTAAGGGACATCGTAAGGAATACTGAAATAGTGTATTCAGACCAGTACTCTGAGTCGAAAATCATAGGAATTTTCTGCCGGTTTTTTTTACTTTTGTTTTTTTTTTTTTAAATTGTATCACCATGAGTACAATGTATGTAATTAAACAGTCGAAGTGCGCGGGGCCTCCCATTAGGCCGCGAACATGTGTTAGTGTGCGTAGACTGTTTGCACGGAATACACATGTAATTATTACTTTAGTGCGATACCTACGGGGAATGACATTTACCTTTGACAGCTGATTGCTTAAAAGGTTTAATTTTCCGGCAGAAAATTCCAATGATTTTAGACTCAGATGATGGTCTGAATACACTATTTCAGTATTCCTTACGATGTCCCTTACACCGTGTATAAGCCATAGGCCTCTGTTTAGAAAGATGGGTTTGGCCTACTATACCACGCTGGCCAGACGGGTTGGTATAGGGTTTGTTTTAAGTTTTCCATCTCTGTGCTTTAATACATACATATTACAGTTAAATTACACCAAACACGGAATGAGTATCGTGATCACCCCTCATGCAATGCTCATCAGTCAGTAGCGCCATCTATATGCGCCAAGATAATCAAAGTTAAATCGTTCTTAGTATTGCAGTTATATTCTGAAACGTTTAGAAGCTATTTACAGATCTAATTTGAATAGCAAGGCCTAAGTGTAGAATTGAGATAAATATATATAGCTACTGATACATGATTAACAATTTTGATACCATTTTGGTGTATTATCAGAGCTCCCATCCCATCCCATGCTTCGTCACGAATCGGCCGGCTCGACCGGAGTGATACCAAGGCCTTACAAAAAGCCGGTGTTAAGCAATTCTTTCATTGCCTTTCACTGAGTGAGTGAGGTTTCCGGAGCCCAAATCCCGCTGACTCGAGTGGGAGGGACTCCAAGGGCAGCAACGCACTTGTGACTTTTGAGCTGCAGGTGTCCATGGGTGGCGGTAGTTGCTTACCATTACACGACCCGTCTGCTCGTTTGCCCCGTTATACCCTAAAAAAAAGCTTAGCAGATTAGATTAGTTTTGTTGTAGAACTTCAAAACAGGCTTGGCTTATTTTTATAGAGAATTGATTAATATGTTTATTTATCAGTTGTCCCTAATACATACCTTTCTGCAACTTTTTTTTTTTAAATTACGTAAAAAAAAAAAAAAAAACACAGATTAAAAATATGGCAACCCTATAAGTTAAATGTCTCTCTCGCAGTTCGGATACCGTCCGGAACGTATTAAAAGTTAGAACTAGTTTCGGTTAAACCCGCGCAACGCCGAGACCGCCAATAGCCGTCAGGGCGCGAGGGTCTACTCGTGAAATGTCAACTTGAGTTTGTGATCGAACTTCAATATATTACGAAAAAATAAATGAGGGTTGATACTTTTAGAAGTAGTTAACTTAAAATAATTTAAAACACGCAATATTTCGGGCGGTCAACGTCTGTTAGGGCGGGTACTATCTTTAATTTTTATCTTTCTATCTTTAATTTATCTAGTCTAAAAAAAGTAGCCTAAGTTACTCCTTATGTTATCAGCTAGCTGCCAGTGAAAGTCCCGTCGAAATCGGTCCAGCCGTTCCAGAGATTGACAGAGAGAGACCCGGAACAAACAGACAGACAGACAAAAATTGTAAAAAATGTTATTTTGGCATATGAACCGTGTAAACATACATATGCATTTAGTAAAAAGCGGTTATTTTAATATTACAAACAGACACTCCAATTTTATTTATTTGTATAGATTAAATACAGTATTGAACAGCACCTGTTGTCTGTCGCAATATAAATATATATAAAAATATGGAAGTGTCTGTTTGTAATGTCAAAACAAAAGGTTTTTTTCATGCTCACACGGTTATGATACCTATGCCTAAAAACCAGTTCAAATAATTTTTGTCTGTCTTTCTGTCTATCTGTTTGTTCCGTTTAATCTTCAAAACAGCCGGACCGATTTTGATAATATTTTACTACCATGTAGCTGTCTCTATAAGGGGTAACTTAGGCAATTTTTTTCTCTCAAAAAACCCTATAAAGTTTTGCCTGGTCCGAGAAGCGATATGCATTACGTTATAAAAATTAGAATAATAACTTCACATATTTTACACACGGCCGTCTGATCCAGACTGCTGTTAAACATACTTACATGTTTTCAAATATATATATATTATAGATAAATGACACCCAGACACAACAAATGATCATACTCATCACATAAATATTTAGCCTGAGTGAAAATAGAACCTATAACATAGATTTTTAGTTAATAACTAGCTGACCCGGCAGACTTCGTACTGCCTCAATTGATAAATAAAAGACTTAAACTTTTGTATAAAATAAACAAACAAAAGGAATCCTTTTTTTATGAAAACAATTAAAAAATGCACGGAATTAAAAAATAATCGAGCATTTTCATATTTCTTCACCTTTTAAACCTTCTCTGGACTTCCACAAATAATTCAAGACCAAAATTAGCCAAATCGGTCCAGCCGTTCTCGAGTTTTAGCGAGACTAACGAACAGCAATTCATTTTTATATATATAGAGATTTGACACATCTCACATAGAATTCTGTTCTCAACGGGACTAATCCTTCCCACGCCCACCAGTGTAACTCCTGTTCACCAGGATCCACAGCGGCGAAGTCCCAGGAAACATTAAAAGCGATTTCAGCCGACGTTGTTGCGCAGTACACTTCGTAGAGATCTACAAAACAGCCATGCGGCGAGTGTACATAACGTCTGGCTACTATAAAGAAATTACGGCTTTTGAATCACACACATTATAACTAATTTATTGTGGTGTTCATCATCATCATCAAC